AGTGGTACCATGGGGCCGACATTTCGAAACGACTTGAAAACAATTTTAATTCATGAGACAACTGATGTCGAATAAAAATGTTCAATAGCGTTAATAATAACATGACACTGTAACGTAAGAATTATGGTAGCAAATAATTAAAAATTAATAATTGTTCCTTTTTACCTTCGCTACAAAGGAATAACTGATACGTAAAACGCTGTTTTTCGTGGCAGCCTACATATTAACATATTCACCACCAATATTTGTAACGGCCGTAATTCTATATTTTATATAAAGAAAATGAAATTACTCCTATAAATATAGTTAGTTAAAGTTATGAGCTACGAAATTACATTTAGGGATTCAATGACTAGTTTTAGCTCCATTTGTTTCAATAAGTTATTTATAAGATTCACTGAATTGAATAAAATATGATAATTGAGGGGATCGCCACTGAAACAAATGCTGGTAGCGAACGCGTTAAGGCCGCCATACACGTTAAAACTTACGGCGACGCAGACATCGCTACAGACAATGAGTTTGAGCCTTTTTCACTGTTTGTTCGGGTGCAACATCTATAATGAAACCTTGAAAGACTTAAACCCATCGCTTGCCTGCATCGCCGCAAGTTTCAACGTGTATGGGGGGCCTAAAGGGCGAAAAGAGAGGAGACGGGCTTGTCACTCTGCCCCTGAGCAAACTGCCCTACCGGTCGATGCCTTACGCTTGCGCCCTGACGTCGCCCGCCCCCGCATTCGCCCTTTCTTACGTTAGTTCGGCCTCCGCGGCACTGAATCTCCTCGCGTTTGAATCGGTGATTAAAGTTTCACTTCGCTTCCTTTATTTTCCTGCGTTTTCTCTTGCGGTCTGAACTAGGGAGGGCGAAGACGGGGCTCGGTCAGCGGAAACTCGGACGGAATACGCGCAGGAAGCGCCTGCGATTGACGGGGCCTGTCCGTTATCGCTGAACCCGATGCTTCTTCGAGGGAATTTCGCCGGGACGCATTGTTTCGAGTTCACGTGCAGACGAGATTTGAGCGGGACGGCTTAATGAATTAGTTGCGTGACTGGACTGAGACGTGCGCGATGGAATTTGATTTTTGGGATGGTCTTCGATGAGGTTTTTGAGATAGTTTTTGCTTATATGATCGTTTGTTTCGTGGTTTAGCTTGCGATTAGGGTTGTTAGACGCGAGAGTCATTGCATTGGTTTCGTAATTTGAGGAAGGAAGTATTATGTATTTAGTGTGAGCGTAGGTTTACTGTTTTATAATAAATTCATTTTAATTTGATGTTATAAGAGAATGGATTTATTCTTCGTAGTTTATGCAATCCGTAATGCATTTGTTTTTAAATATGTGTATTATGTGCTCTTTTCTAGAGACGATTTTTAATGTTTTCCTGTATATTTGTATGTAATAAATTAATCTCCCATTTGTTTAAGTTTTACCAGCTTTATGGCTGTTTACCATAATATTTTATGCGAATGCGGTATTACATATTTCTTAAGTTGAAAGTGAATAATTTATCAGTTCATCACATGTATCGTATAAATAATGTATCTAATAAAGAATGAAGTAGTAAGTGTCTTGAAACATATTTTTGTTAAATTTATCAAGCTTCACTGCTAATTGTTATTATTCACCAATACATGTAATTACTACTTATTATTAATCACATTGACTAATACTCATATTAACCAGATTTATTACAGGAATCGTAACATATTCATTCAGACAATTAATAAAATATAAATTTAATGTTAAATATTTAGTAGATAAATAAATAATTACATTTACGATAGATGAATTTTTTAAACAGTGTAATATGTACGTACACATATGATAAATATATTTTTACGTGCATTCGTTTATGAAATTTAAAAGAATCCCATAGTTTCCCAATACAATTTAAGTCCAGTGATTATAATTAATCTGTTACATAATAAATATTCCTATATTAGTTTGCAATTATTTATAAAATTGTCATCTTGATGATGTTCAAATAAGCAGGTACATTGCATATCTTCATTTTCGTAGTATTTTTTTAAACGCTTCCTTGTAGAATGATTTAATATTCGTTTCATCTGAAATTCCATCTGTATAAGTCAATTCTCTCTTTTTACTATGGAAATGTATACACTATCAAACTCCTGCCCTTTGTGAGTTACTCTACTTTTCTAACCACTTTATTTTAGTATTCTACCAATGCAATTCTTTCAAAAAGCTCCAACTTTGAAAGCACGTAACTTGTTATAGCTTGGCTTCTTTTTGTGTCCTCTTTTAGTCATGCATGAATGATAAATAAAATATAGTTTATTTATATTATTACTCATTAGACTACGGATGTGCATATTTTGGTAGAAATTAGGTAATATAACGAGACACAGAATATTGTACCGTTATTAAATTATTTTACGAACATATTTTTCATTCTGCGAATATTTGTACCTATATATGTATACGTATATCATATGCATATTACATATTTTGTGCATAATGCATATTTAATGCATGCGTTAATCATAATATTATAATACAAAGCTAAACATTGGAAAACGGATATTTTCCGAAAAATATCACATTGTTGAAAATTATAAAGTGTAAATATTCATTTAAATTAATAAAAGTTACATTTCGCAGTATATCTTTAATATTCAAACGGAGTTTAAGCAAATTCACTGGTTTTAATGAGTAATTTTTCTTATCAAATTAGTCATTTTGTAAAAATCAAAAATGAAAATAGAAAATTAATTTTATCTCAGTTTTATTGGTTTTAATGAAAAATTGTTCAATACTTCGCTTCTAAGCCATAATAAATTCAGTTACCAATTTATTCGAATATTATTATTGACAAGTGGACAGTTACAGTAAGAACTTTATTTCAACAATGTTCAGTTCCGTGGAACGCATACCTTTCATATTGCCTTGCGAAGTCCCCATTATTTTTACATTTCCACTGCAATACGATCGAACATCGCGAAGTCCCGCATCAAGAAAAAGAAAGTACTCATAATTTCCAACAAACTTGAAAGAAGGGAGATACTGGCAGAGAGATCATTCGGAGGAAACGAACTCTGGAAATACTGAATCAAGTTCTATTCGCCTTCCATTGTAATCTCAGTAAAATACGAGGTGCGCCATTGAATCGAACATTATTGTGCGGGGGAGGGAAGTGCAGAAGCAAGAGAAGAAGGCAGAGAAGCAGAAGGAGAGGAACTTTTATTCCGGAGGAAAGGATAATTTCAAGGGAAATGGGCTAAGAATCGCACTGTCACTAAACGAAATATAAACAAAGTACAAAGCTTCTGCGTCGAATTCAACGACGAAATGTGAATAATTTCAAGACAGTGTGCACGTATAACGTACGTTCTGCTATTATCTTTCATCTCACCTACTTTCATTTTTATTCCACCACGATTGATCACTCTGTGTTCTCTATATAGGTCGGTTATACGGAGACGTGGGCACCACCTCTAGTCTTTATATTATTCTGGAATCTGTGAACTTTAATCTACGAAGGCCATCGTAGGTGAACATTGACGTAAATTTTGTTTTAATATTATTGGGTGATGCAAGAAATAGATTCTAATCATTCTTGACGTGTTTATTTAGATAATGATGTAATTGTATTTTAAAATGTGACGGTTCTTTTGTGTACGTCGTTATATTGTTAATGTTATATTGTTAATACAATAACAATACAAACAATGTTATTTTGTTAATATTAACGTGTTTTCTTATGACAATAACTTTTCGGAGTTAACTGAACTACTAAGTTCTCATGAAGTTTCGTTATGGTGCTATTTTGAATCATAATTGCTATTCTGAGGATAATTGTGAAAATTACTGTAATTATAATCATTAATTAAATACAACAAGTTTGTAAAATTAGTGGTGTTCCAATAAAATTGTTTGGTAATTTGTATCAAATGTTATTTTGTAAATATATAAGTTATATATATTCTGATATGCTTAATTATACCGGATATTTTTATAAAGTATTTTACTGTAGATGGACAGTGGAAATTTTTTATGAAAAATTTTTTAGCCTCTGAACTTTAATTTTGTAAATTTAATTTGTAAATTAAAGAAAATAAAGTGATAAATTTCTATAATTCTCAACATTAAAAGTAGTTAAATATATTGAATTACAAAAAATTGGAAGAATTATTTGAAACAATATT